ATGCTAAGGAGAGGTCAATAACAGGAGAGGGAGGGTAAAAGAAGGAAGTTAAGAAGGTGAATATGGTTTATGTACTTCCTATACAAGAATGAATATAGAATTTTTAAACCTGTTGAAATCACCATGAGAAGGGGACTAAGGCAGAAAGGAGAAAAATAGAGATGAACCAATTCAAGTTATAATACATGTGTAAGTGAATTGTCACAAGTAAACCAATGTATATCTATCTTAAGCAAACAAAAATATCATTTTTTAAACACAAACAGAGAACAGGAGGGCAGAACAGGTCCTGTCTGGGGGTTTGGTACCCCTGGCAGTCAGGAGGATATGGGAAGAAGGTGTAAGAGGATTCATATGTTGCAAATATTGTGCAACATGTATGTTAATGGAAAAATGATATCTGTTGAAACTATTCCAGAAATGGGGAGATAAAGGAAAATGATGAAGGGGTTGAATTCAACTATAAGAACTTTTGTAAGTGTCACAATACACCCCTAGCACAACAATAATAAAAAAACAGAAAATCTCCCAGGATTAATAAGCAATTGTAGCAATAAGGTGACAATAAATACAATGCTGTACTGTACATTTCACAAAGCTAGGTGAAAGGATTTTGAAGGTCTTCACCATAAAGAAATGGTAAATGTTTATAGGCTGGGAACATGAATCAAGTGATTGAGTGCCTCCCTAGCAAGTGCAAGGCCTTGAGTTCAAACCACCACCACAAAAAAAGGATAAATATTTGAGGAGATAAATATTTAACCTGACTAAACATATAATGTAGATCATAAAAACATTGTACATTTTGTATGTTGACCCATAACATTTCCTTTCTTATGCATCAGTTAAAGACAGATTTATTAAAAATCCCAAATACCACATGGTTGGCACTTTTATGAGGTATGTAAAATAGTTGACCTCATAGAAATCCAGAGGGCCTGGGAGTGGGGTTGAGGAGATGTTTGTCAAAGGACATAAAATTCCAGTTAAATATCAGGAATGAGTTCAAGAGATCTATGGTACAACATGGTGACTATAGTTAATAACAATATGTTGTATTTTTGAAAATTGCCATAAGAAAAATTTAAGTGTTCTCACTACATACAAAAATGATACAAATGTAAAGTAATACATATGCTAATTAGCTTCATTTCGTTATTCCACAATTCCACATGTATGAATGTTTCAGAATAACATTTTGTACATGACAAATGTGTACAATATTTTTGTAATAAAAATGAAAGTTCAAAAATAAGTAATTATAGTAATGTTTCAGTATTAAAAATTAACACAAAAATCAATTGCTTCCCTATACGAGTAATGAGCAATTGGAATTTGAAATTAAACACACAATACCATTTACTCAGCACGAAAAATAAAAATGTTATGTATTTCTCAGAAAATATGTATTGGACCTAAATGAGGAAAAGTATAAAAGTCTGATGAAAGAAATCAAAGATAATTTAAATAAATGGAAAGATACTCCATGCTTAATGATAGGAAGTCTCAATATCATTAAGATGTCAGTTCTTTACAACTCTATAGATTCAATTAAATTCCAGTGAAAATTCCACGTTATTTTGTGACTATCAGGAACTTCTAATTCATTACTAGTGGAAATGCAAATTAGTACAGCCACATAAGTATACAGCATGGCAATTTCTTACTAAGCTTAACATATTCTTCCCAATAGTACAGCAATCTTGCCCCATGACACTTACCAAAATAAGTTGAGAATTTATGTCCACATAAAAATCTATGCATTAATATGTATAGCCATTTTGCACCAAAACTTGGAAGCAACTAAGAGTCCCTTCAATAAATGAATGGAAAAATAACATGGTTCATCCATACACTAGAGTATTATTCAGCAATATAAATGATCTATCATCACAAAAAGACATGGATGAAAATTTGATACATATTACTAAATGAAAGCAGTCAAACCAAAAAGAGTTACACTAAGTGATTCCAACTATATGACATGTCAGGAAAGGAAAAACTGTTGAGAAAGCAAAAATAACAGTGGTTGCTAGACTCTACAACAGGTAGAACACAAGTGATTTATAGGACAGTGAAACTATTCTGTACGAAGCAGTAGTACTAGTCACTTCATGAGGCAGGAACCTTTAGGTACAAACTCCTATATTAATATACCTTCAAAGTGTCCTTTCCCTTTTTCAGCCAAAACTTTATGATGCAAACTGAGTGGGCATTCTTTTCCATCATCTGTATGACGCAAGCTGAACATGCCCAAAAGTGTTCTTGTCTGCCATTTTAAACTTGTGAACATGTGCTCCATGACCTTAAGCTGAACATGCCCTGAAAATGTGTGCCCTGTCTTTCCTTCCTAAACTACAACATCACCTAAGCATGTTTTGGAATCTACTCCTTAACTGAGCATGCTCAGGAATGTGCCCAACCCTAAATTGCTTTCTTATACAAATACATACAGGCTCCCAGAATAAATTCCTTTGCTTTGTAAATAACTCATATACTTCCCTTATCTCTTATAGATAATAAATATTTCTTTACTCTTATTTCTTGACCTTGCTTGTTTTGGCTTTTCACTCACCAAGATATAAATCCTTTAAATTTGGTTATAGTAATGATAAATATATGTCAATAAACATTTGTCAAAAGTACATAGTACATAGGCAAACTATGTACTTTAATTTATTAATAATGTATTAATTCTTAATATATTATTGTATTGAATAACCACCAATATAATCAATTAATACATTATTGTATTAATATTAATACAGTGTTGGTCCATTGATTGCAACAAAAGTACTACACTAATACAAAACTAAATTTTTTATATACACTTTATATGTACATAATTTTATAGTTATATTTCCTAATCAATTTTTATGTAAATCTGGGCTGGTGGAGTGGCTCAAGTGGTAGAGTACCTGCCTAGCAAGCATGAGGCCCTAAGTTCAAACCCTACAATAAATGAATAAATCCAAAATAAATAAATCCAAAAAATTACTAAAAAATTGAATCTACTAGTATAAAAGACAGAAAACAAAAAGAAAGGGGCTTCTTGGCCCCCATCAGATCTTGAATGTTCAGTCAAGCTTTCTGTATTACTGGGCTTTCTTTTCAATATGAACAGAGAAAACCAGAGAGGAACTCAAAAATCTTTTTCTGTATTTCTGCCTCTCTCTTTCTCTCTTAGTGATACACATTCATATTCACACAAAATAACTGAGCATTGCAAATGTATGTGTATGCATATGTGTAGCCAAGGTCTTCTCTGAATCTTTCTTTTCCTCCCAGGAGCTAAGCTTCTGGCATCTCCTTCCAAGCACCCCTTGAGCTATTGTCTCCCTAGACAACCCCATCCACCCCCACACCTCACTATGTCTCTCTCAACCATCCTCCTTATTTATTAATCCCTGCATTTGACCAAGTCCTACTGGACCCCGGACTTCCTCTAACTCCTGGACTCAGTCCATTCTTCAGAACCTGCTCTGCTTCCTCTGCTTGTGGCTGTTCAGGAACCCTGCCTATTTCCTGTGGCACAGTGGATGGACCTGACTTTGACTCAGCCCTATAGCACTATTGCTCACTGCTATTCTAGGGAGAGAAAGTTCAGAAGGATGCCTCAGGAGAAAAGGGTCTTCAGGGCTTCCAATAATCCAGGTCTGCAGTTTGATTCCAACATTGTCCTGGACCTAAGTAACAGCCCTTAGCCTGCAGTCCTGTAGCTCTGGCTATTTTGTTTTACTCTAATCATCTTTATTATGAAAAGCAACATGATGGTTGGAATGAAGGTATAACCATACAACTATATTATATTAACATGAACCTTTTCACTTATTCATACAAGACTTTTCATTAATTATCTTAAACCTCATGTATTGTGGATTTCACAGTGAGTGGCATCCTGTGGTTTCAATTTGTGGACAACCATTATTCTTTTTAATACATATATAAATTTGTTTAAGCACCAATATAATCAAGATGATATCTATCACCAAAAAAGAACTACCTCATGCTGCTCTCTTATACCCACACTTTACCACCCATTTCTCAACCTGGAAGCTACAAGCTATTCTTCATTACTGTAATTTTGTCATGTTGAGGATGTTATACAACATTCTTGAGTGAATGATTATTCTGATATTCTTTTTTAAAATTTACTTATTAGGTTTTGTTTGGTTTAATACAAGTTCTCACTATGTATCCTAGAATGCCTGTCTCAGATCGCTAAGTACGGAAATCTTCAAAAGCCTTCTACATAACTATTATTTCATGTGGGCCAACACTAGCCAAATCTCTGAAACTCTAACATACTCTTATTTTAATTGCCATACATATTGAACTGCTTCCCACTGAACCACCTTTGTATAATTAAAATTCCTAATTTGAGATAATTATAGATTCACAGCTGACTTTTACAATGTTTTATTTTGAAATAATTACAGACTCACAGGAAATTGCAAAAATAATAGTTTGTATACCTTATATCTATCTTTTTCTAATGGTAACAACTTACATAACTATAGCACACTGTTAAACCAATAAATTGACACTGCTAAACCAATAAATTGACACTGCTACGATACTCTTAATTAAAGAAGACATTGTCAATAAACACTATGTTATTAACAAAATGCAAATGTTTCACAATCATTTTCTTTAATCTTTAACATGGCTCCTGAGGTTGGAGTCATCATCCTATTGTAACAGATTCAGACCCATGTGGCTGTGGCTGGACAAAGTCTCTTAACTGGATGAAGTTTTCACAAACTAAATCCGCAACAACCTTCTTTCTTCTCCACCTCAGACCAGCATTGAACCCTGACTCTACATGGATGGGCTTTTCTCACCTCATGTAGCAGCCATCACTGTGGCTACTGTAGAACTCTCATTTAGGGGAAAAATTAATATCTTAAATGAGAATGAGAGGTGTGATTATTGCCTATGGAGAGATCCACTCACTTGTCTGTATCAGAGCATGGGAACCCTTTGAGAAAAAGCTTCTCTTATTTCAGGGGCACTGGACAGAATGATATAGGATTTAAAAGGTCCTCTCCATGTATCTGAAACTGGATGTATGGCCTCAATAAGCCTTCAAATTGATGCTTCAGGGTAGAAATTAAAGACTGATCATTTATGTTGAAGAAAGAGATGGACCCACCTTCATAGTCTAGAAAGACCCCCACTCTGCTAGGGGGAGTTTTTACAGATACACTTTCTCTATTAACACCGACTGTGAAATACTGTTGGGCTGCCCATAGTCCAAGGACCCAGTACCCATTGTTGGAATACAATTTCACATTTGTCTCCTTCCTGTCCACATCATCCCTGCATACTCCCAGATACCATCTTTTGTTAAATCCCACATCTACTTCCCAATAATGTTTCCCGTTCTGGAAACCCTCAGAAGCCACCACACATGTCCTTCTGAATCTCTTCTCTGAGAAGGCCACTTCCTGGGCAATAGTCATAGATGATTCAACTTTCAGATCAGAAGTGTAGATGTGAGGGTGAGCCGAGTCAGGGTCCAGAGTCACTTTCTCTGGGGCATAGTAGGGAAGAGCGGGAGCATGAGTTATTGGACTTTGCCTAGGACACTAGGTTGACCCCTTTCAATGCTGATTGTCTAAGGTTGGGATCACGTAAGTCCCAGAGCTGGAGTCTCCAATAGACAGTGCACTGGGACTCTTCCCTCATTATTTGTGTAACCTCATTAATTACTGGAAATGCCAACTGTGAGGTCATAACTCCTATCTATCACCCCAACCCTACATCTTTCTCTATACTTAATCTTGTCTTTGGTTTGTGAGACCCAAGGGACCCCACTATCCACCATCCTCTCATCTACCTAGTCTGCCCAAATGTACTTTCTTCCCCTTATCCCTACCTTCTATTTCTTGAAGCTTTGCTTATGATACCCACACTGTCCACTTGGGCCCTGCTTTTTCCCCTTCTAGACTTGAATCAAGAATGTGTCTGAGATAAGCTGCACTCTGGGGTTGATGAGGAACATCACAGATTTCTCATCTGTAGGTCATGTGTTTCCCAAATCTGTTACTGGCCCACTCCCTCTTTAATGCCCACTGGAAGCTCTGTCCTACTGTCATCTCCTCAGGTGCTGGTACCTGCATATTTCCGGGCATCTCTCCATTCTGAAAACAAGCAGACAGATTGGGCAGTTCAGTGCTCACATGATAAACAGGAGGAAGAAAGAGGAGAAAAGACCAAGGGTGATCTCCCTTCTTTTTCCCATTAATTTTTTATTAGGATATATTTGTTGTATAGGGGGGAATTCATTGTGACAATTACAAATAGGTACATCGATTAGATCACCTCCACTGTCTCTCCCCATTTACCCCTTCCCTGTCTCACTTAAAAGTACTGTAAGAGATTTACTGTTCTAGTTTGTATATGAAATCAATCAATCATATTTCATCACCTTAATCTACTTAATTCATCCTCCTCCTCCACAAGTACCCCCCTTACTGTATACCTATATTGCAGTTCTTTCTTCATTATTAATATCTAAGTTGATATTCAAAGGGTATCCCTGCTGTGAGAATACTTTACTTTGGTCCACTTGACCATTTCCATTACTTTCCCTTACCCCTTTACCTCCCACCCCTCATTTTGCGGCAGCTTTCAGTACATATCCTTATTTCCTCTATGTTCACAGATGTTATGCTTCACAATATTGTTGCTGCTCTATTGTTCTCTTTTCCTTTCCCCTCCTTCCCCAAGTTCCATACAGTAGTTCCCCTATTACAAACTTGTTCTGCATATGAGTTTGTGTCTGATCATGTTTGTTTTTATGTACATTTCTATCTTTTGGATCTATCTTCCACATATTAGAGAAAACATGCAGCCTTTGTGTTCCTGAGCCTGGCTAACTTCACTTAATATGATGTCCTCCAATTGCATCTATTTCCCTTCAAACCGCATGTTGTCATTATTGCTTATGGCTGAGTAATACTCCATTGTGTATATATACCACATTTTCTTGATCCACTCATCAGTTGTAGGGCATCTGAGTTATTTCCATAGCTTGGCTATTGTGAATAGTGCTGCAATGAACACTGGTATACAGCTGTCTCTATACTGACTTACATTTCTTTGGATAGATGCCCAGGAGTGGTATACTGGATCATAAGACAGTTCTATATTTAGCTTTTTGAGACATCTCCATACTGCTTTCCATTGATTGCCCTTTTGGGGTATTCCAGATCCATAAGAATTCTGATGAAGATTACGGTGCATCTCTACAAAGTGCACCTACCCATGTCTGCAACAATTTCAGGATCCCCATCAGTAACTAGCATCTGCAGGGACCCATGGGCCTGTTGTTAGATTCCCTAAACTATGGATTTGGAAGGGAAAGGTAAGTGGGGAGTGAAGGAAGAATATATTTCCTTACCTGCCTGTGTATGTCTTCTTTTCTGATCTGAAACCAAAACACAGAGAAGGTTCAATCCTTGGAACTGGGGTCCAGGGCAAAGTGTGGGAGGAAAATTATGAATGTGCTCTTACCTAGACTTTCCTGAGATTTGCTGAAACAAAAAAAAGAATATTCAGAAGTGATACAGATCTGAATAAAGGTTCAAAGAATCAAGCCAGGGAAATGTCCTGCAGCATTTTTACCATCCTGAATTCACATACCCTTAAAAAAACTCATGAATGGAGAGTTCCCTCCATAAAATACATCAGCAGGAAACTATAGACAATTGTAAGGAGCTTAGAGACCCTGTTGCCCATCTTAAGCCCAAAACTCCTATTTATCTGGTAATAAAATAATTAGTTAATTGATGCAGAGAGTGAGTCAGCTCTTTGCATTTTCTGCCCAAGCTTCCCATTTAGTCTGGAGCCACAACTGCATATAGATGGCTCAACCAGTGGAGCAGAGAGGAATCCAGAACAGGTGTGAATGGATGGCTCAAAACATGAAGCACTCACCTAAATCTGTCTGCATCTTCCCTGAAACAGAAGCAGAATGTTTAATGGTCAACACAGGAGTGTGAAAGACGTAAATACAACCATGGCACCTTCCTCAGGTGGGATAATCTGTGATCTAAAGGACAGGGATCCCTTAGTACTCTTTCTGTGCTCCACCCAAACCCCAATTCCTTTGCCAGTGTCTCTACATGGGGTAGACAAGATATAAGGAACATTCACTGTGAAGAGAGAAACTGCTATCTAGGATTCTGTGGAAGGGAAAATTGAGGTTAGGGAAGGAGAAGGTGTGTGAGTAAAAGATACAGAGTTATGATATGCGTTCTCAAAAGGCTGTGTCACACTCCAGGAGGAAGAAATTGTTTCTTGAGGATAAAAACTCTTATTGGAATATTATTTGGGGTTTTGGTTTTGGGGTTTTTGTTGTTGTTAGGGTGAGGCATTTTCTGAAGGAGTCAGAAAGACTGTGGTCCCTATGACCCAAGTGAAAAGTCCCAGGATCCAAGATCTGGAATAAAAGACAGGTGCCTAGCAGCATCTGTGACCCCAGCACTGCTACAAGCATGAATTAGCATGGGCCCACACATCTCTCTCCCTCACTTACACTGAATTTTGGAGGACGAAATTTTCTGCCAAATGGTAGCACCACATAAGACAAAGAAGAAGATCAGCAGTAAAATAGAAACGAGTCTCCAGGGTGAGGGCTGGAAAAACTTCTCTGAAAAACAGTCACATAAACCCTTTAGTGATTGTTGAACAGCAAAGATAATTTAATTTTCATTTAAGGACTCTCCTTATACCCAAAGAAGAAATAGGTATTTAACTATAATTTCTTGTTCAGGTTTAAAACTTTGTATTTTTGTATAAGTTTTGTACCATCTGGATTTTATTTTACATATAAAAAATGAGGTAGAGTTGTAACAGAAAGTTAGAGGCTAATTTGGCTAAAGGCATTAACTCTTCATTTGAGCCTGTGGATACCTGCTGGATAATTAAAAACAGGATAAAAGGTTGGCATGTCTGCTTTCATTTGCATCTGTATCCTTTTGCTACCTTAAACTCTGAGTCCAATTCCTGTTCACCTCTGCCTGCAGACATGTTAATCATTTGAGGAGTGTTCTTCTAAAAGTGGTAATCATCCCTCTCCAGGCTATAAACACCAAGATAAGAATAATTAAGATACTTTCAAGATTTGCAGGGATGCTATAATCAACAGATTGTCAATTGCCAGCTTTTACAATGTCCTGTTCCAGACTATCAGAGCAGCAGTTAGTCATCGTTAATCATTACCCTAAGCTCAAAGTGGGGCACAATCATTGACCTAACTGACTCCATCTTACCTTTATGATTTGTTCTTTTTATAAGTTATTCTTTCCTGCAGTCTCCTTGGACCAGGAACAACAGGTCTGATTGATAAACATCTTGTGATAAGAATTTAAACTACCTCCCTAAGCAGTAACAACTTTCTTATTGCCAACAACGAAATGACCAATCTTGAGATAATGATTAACAAGACCTCTCCTGACCAAGACCACCAGGTTTTCAAACCTCCAACACTTGCTTTTATTACTGTCCTATACACCAAAGCCCTTGTCAGTATTCCAAAGACAGGGTTTAGAATGTTAGTAGTCCCTGTTCCTTCCTGGTATGGCCATACTGAATAAATACCTTTCCTGTATTGACCTGCTTGGTCAATTGGGGTGAGTGACTAAGACTGATATGTTGGGATCCCCTAGAATTGGGCCTCTGTCCTAGGACCCCAGTCACATAGTTTTGATTTTATTCTCTTCTGAATGAGTAACTGTGACAGCGTCATTTATTGAATGGACTGTCCTTTACATGTGCAATTTCACCTTTATGCTTATGTTTAGGATTGGATTTGGTTCCTGACTCTCTGTTCTGTGCATTGTTCCATTTGTCTATCTCTCTGGCAGTAATTGTTGACTGGCTTATTCATAACAGCTCAGAGATATGTCTTTATATATCATAGACTATATATAACTTGTTCTTGCAACTGTGTCTTCCTATCACTTGGTCACTTGCTTTGTTACATAAATTTTGCAACTGACTTGTCCAATTCCAAAAAGAGGTCCTCTGACATTTGTCTTGGTGGAGTTGTAGCCCAGGCTACATTGATCCTTCTCACTCAGTCTCTCAAGTGGTAGATTACAGACATGTGCCACTGTGCCCAGCTCCTCTGAGATTTTGAATGGAATTTTAATTTATAGATCAATTCTGGGAGAAATGATAACTTTAAAATATGCATTTCTTTAAAATGTTACATCTCTCTTCCTATATTAGTGTCTTTAATAAAGTTTTATAATGTTCTTTGATAAGGGTTTGTAAATTTTATCAGACTTATTCTTAGTTAAAATATTTATGTTGGTACTGCAAATGGCATGGTTGTTTTCCTGTGTTTACAGATGCAATTTATTATTAATCTTATACCACATGTCACAATGAACTATTATGAACTAAATAAATTTATTTGAATGTACTTTATCTGAATATTCCTTAAGTTTATATATGTATATATCATATAATCTGTGAATAATGGCCATATTATTCGCACACATATTACTTCTTTTCTAAAAGTTACAACCTTTTTTCATTTTTTCTCTGATTACAATGGCTAGTGTGTTCATGTTGAACAGAAATGTTTAATACAATCGATTTATTAAATTTCTTATTTTAAATAACATGATTCCTACTATAGCTATTTTTATATATCTTTTTCCTAAATACTTGAGATGTTTCTATTTGTTTGTTTTTCAGTGCTGGAGATTGAACCCAGGATCTCATGTATGCTAGGTGAGTGCTCTACCACTGACCTAAACCTCAAGCCCTCTTTTACTTTTGTGTTACTATGTTTTATGCCATAAATAGGTATTAAATTTTCTCCTTGTTTTATTTATAACAATTAAGAAAATTAATGGTCTCCTTTAAATCATTAAGTTAATAATTATATTAGTTTATATCCCAGTGCTGATCTAACATTTCATTCCAGAATAAACTCAATTCAGTCACTATTATGGTTTTTACGTACTTTTGATTTAACTTACGAAAGTTCCAAGAGACAACTACATTTTTGTTTCTGAGTAAGTTTTGTCAACACTGTTTCTTTTTTTATCCCTCCTTATTTATTTTGTTATTAAAATTATATTAATAAAATAAAATGGATTTAATATTTCCTATTCTGCTTCCTATCAGATTTAGTGTAAGACTGAAGTTTTCTTTGTCTTGAACATTTGATAGATTTTGTATGTAAAATAATATAGCTTCATTGTCTTCTTTGTTTAGAGACTTTAAAATACTGATTCAATTTCTATTGTGGTGATATATTTTTCCTTGCATTAGATTTGTATTTTATATTTTTCTATGAAATTTTTATGTTGTCACACTCAAACAGGATTTCACAGTTATTCTATACACTTTCTTTTAAATCTCTATTACATCTTGATTCTGCACCCTTATTATTTCCTGTATTGTCTAATTGTGCCAACTCTCTTATTTTTTATTAGTGTTTCCTGAAGCTTATATATATATATAATAGTATTTTGAAGCATTAAACTTTAGCTTTGTTAACCTGAAGTACTTCTCAATTTATTTTTGTAGCTCTCTGTATGATTTCTACCTTTTTTTTCCTTTTCAACTTATTCTGAAAAATTTTCAGTATAAACTATAGTCTTTTCATTTAATGATATAATGAAATAATACTTAATAATATAATTTTGACTCAGAAAACTTAACTCCATCTTATACATAGTGATATATTGTGATTTCACTATCATTCAATCCTAAGAAGTTTATTACAACTATTATGCTTTTAATGACTTTTATTATTTTAAATGTGTTTACACATTTTTCAAACATACAAGATTTTTATTATTGTCAGTTAGTGCAACTATGTGGTCATTAGAGAGCATTGCCTAAGTGACATTAATTCCTTGAAAGGTTCACCAGTCACTCTATGAGCTTGTACCTGGTGAAGGTTTATAAATATTCACATGTGTTTCAAAATAATTTTGAGGGCTACCCAGTCTTCTAAAAAGTTCCACTAGATTAAGCTTGCTAATTTGGAATTCAAATTTCCCATAATCTTACTAATTTTCTCTACCTTTTTAATGTTTTGGAATGCATCATATACATTTTCTACCAATATTTGCATTATATGATTTAAAGATATAAACATGGACATATTTAAAATGTTAATATTTTCCTGGTGAATTAACTTTTTTATTAATGAATAAGCAGTGCTTTTTCTCTCTATTTTTTATATTCTAGACAGTGGCATGTATGTTATGGTTCTTCTCTGACTAATATGTGAAATTTTTCACTTTTTCAATAGCCAATATATTCCCTGTCTTCTCTTCTTCCCACTATCCATACTTACCTCCTACCCACACTCTGGATTCTACCTCTTGGCTCTGGTCAGGGAGCTGAACAGAGCATGACACACTCCAGAATTATCTTGAACAGTAAGGGAGGTCTCCACATCAAACCGGCCATGCATGTCTTCCTTCACCTTGGTGTCTAAGGGTAAATTAGGACCCTCTGGACCTTTCCACCTCACTATGGGTTCCGGAAACCATCCTGAAGTTTGACAGAGTAGCTGGATGCCTCCATCAACATATTCCATGACAGAAATGAGAGGAGTGGAGCCCAGTTCTGGGAAGAAAACACAATGAAATGAATGACAGCGCTTTTTTTGTGGTTCTGAGGATTGAATCCAGGTCCATGCAGATGCTAAGCAAGCAATCTGTCACTTGAGCCATGTTTCCAGCCCTTATTTATTTTTATTTTGTTTTTGAAGTAGGGTCTTATTAAGTTTACCTGGGCTGACCTTGAACTCACCATCCTCCTGTTTCTGCCTCACAAGTAGCTGGGATTATAAGTATGTACCACTACATCCTGTTTGACAGAGCATCTTCTAATGAGGCACTCACTCACTAAACTGGAAGACAATCTAAAAATATATTCACTGTAGAAAGACTATTAAGTTGGCACAAAGGAAAGAATGATTATTTGGTCATGGTGTTCCTGGAAGTAACATTTGTGCCTTGCTATGTAAAATAAACAGAAGCTTTTTAGAAAGACAAATGAACAATAAGGAGAAGCATACCAGGAAGAGGGGCATACAAAACCATCATGGGAAGAGTAACCTTGATATGGTCATTTGTTATCATCAATATTCCCATCCCAAAGAGACTTACCCATCATGTGCTATTTCTTGATCTATATTAAAATCTAACTGCTCCATTACAGAAACTATTAGAAGCAGATGTCATGGTACACAACTGTAACCCCAGTACCCAGGAGGCTGAGGCATAAGGATTTCTAATTCAAGGCTAGCCTGGGATATGTGGTAAGACACTGGCTCCAAAAACAAAACAACACAAAAAACGATTAGAGACGACAACAAATTTAGCAAATTTATATTACAAAAAGCCAGTCATATTTGTATAACCTACTATTTCCTACCAGAGGAGGAAATCAAGAAAACATTTTCATTTGCAGTATCATTAATGTAAATGTCATAATGTACTCCCACTTCAACAATAATATTAATGTAAAATAAAACAAAATTTCACTTTTGATTTACCATGTATGAATAATACAAGGAATTTTATTTTCATAATTCAATGTATGTGTACAGTGCACTTTGGAAAAATTTAACCCCTCCTTTATATTCCCATTCCCCTCTCCTTCTTCAGTGGAGCAAATCATAAGGCCCTGAGTTCAAACCCCAGTACCATAAAAAAAGTCATTTTCAAAAGTCATGGGCTAGTCATGAGAGTGGCTCAAGTGGTAGAATGCCTGCATTGCAAGGCCCTGAGTACAACCCCCAGTATAGTAAAAAAATTCTTTAAAAACATTGAAATGCTCATAGTCTCCTTATTCCTAAATCCCTTCAAGGCTGGAGATATGAATCAAGTATTAGAGCACCTGCCTAGCAAGAAAGAAGCCCTAAGTTCAAACCCCAGTACTGCCAAAAAGTTTAAAAAATTTTAAATATCTTGAGAGAAGACCTCCTGATTAAGACTGAGGCACTGATGTGGAGGGGCTGGTATAAAAACAAAGCACAATCACAGTTCAAGGTATCTTGAGATACCTGGCCACAGTGTATGCGAGGAGATGGCCAAGAGAGGCTCATCAAGAGAGAGAAGGTTTGACTTGGAGTGAGCTGAGAAGGATAGGGAGCTCGAGAAGGGAAAGGCACAGTGTTCTATTGACTTTTGACAAGGATGACTATAAATATTCAACTGAGAAAAGAGAGTCTTTTTGAGACCCAGTGCTGGGAAACTGGATATACACATGCAAAACAAAGAAGCTGAACCTTTCTTTTATAACATACACACAAAAATGAACTAAAAATGTATCAGAGACTAAGATGTAAGGCTAAAATTACAAAACACTTAAAACATAGCAGGGAAATTTGATAATATTGGATTTAGAAATGATTTTGTCAAAATTAAAAACTTTTATAAATCAAAGGACAGTATCAAGAGAACAAATGACACAGCAACCTGCAGAATGGGAGAAGACATTTGTATATCATACATTTTATAAGGGATATATAAAGAATTATAACTCAACAACAAGAAAACCTTAAAATGTCCAATAATCACAAAAAGATATTAATATCACTATTCACTAGGAAAATGCACAACAAACCATTGTGAAATACTACTTCACATCCATTAGGATGACTATTCTTTAAAAAAATCAACAAGTATTGGTAAGGATGCACACACATTAGAACCACTGTGCACTGCTGGTACAAATGTGAAGTGGAATAGCTGCTATAGAAAACAGAATGGTTCTTTCAAAAATTAAAACTACAATTATACCATGTGATCCTGAAAATCTACTTCTTGGTATATATCAAAGGAAGTAAAAGTGAGACTTGAATAAATATTTGCATGCCACTGATTATAACAGCATTATTCACAACAGCCAAATGTTTTTAAATACTTAAGTGTATATTGGGAGATAAATAAATAAATAAAATGGGATATATATATATAGTTATATACAAATATATGACTATCAATCAGCTGTAAAAATGAAGGACATTATAATACATTCTACAATGCTGAATGAACCCTGAAAATAGTATGCTAGGTGAAATAAATCAGACACAAAAGAACAAATACATGATTCTATCTATGAGAGGTAAGTAGAAGAGCCAAATTATAGACCCAGAATATAGAACAGGTATTACCAGGCTTAGGGAAAGAGAAATGAGCATTGTTGTTTGGTGGGTACAGAATTCATGTGGGGCTAGGTAAAATTTCTAGTAATGGTTGCACAAAAGTGCCACTGAATTTTATACTTAAACTGATGAAATTGTTGATTTTTCACAAATGGTATATTTTACAGTAACAATCTTTCTTGTAAAAAGGAAATCTATTCTCATTAAAAAACTGTTCAATTACAGTATGGTCAAAAACGTAGAGATTTCATTGACAAGAATATAATGATACCCATAAACCCAGAAAAAAAGATATCAATAACACCAGCCATTAGTGAAATGAAAATTGTAGTAATGGAGAGCAGATCAGTGATTTCTAGGGACTGAGGATAGTAGTGAGAAAGGAGAGTGTGTGTGACTATAAAAGTGCAGTAGAGAGAGGTTTTTGGTGGGACAGTTCAACGTTTTGATATAAATGTTCATAAACTTGGTGCTGGTTACAAGAATCTATACATGCAATAAAATGCATATACACAAGACAGAATGAACTGACAGTGTCAGATGTATCTTCTAATTGGCTTAATTTATTATTATTTATTCATTTATTTACATGTGCATACATTGTTTGGTCATTTCTCCCCGTCTCCCCTCCCCCTCCGTCTCCCCGCCACTCCCCTCGCATCCAGACAGAACCTGTTCTGCCCTTTTCTCCAGTTTTGTTGAAGAGAAGACATGAGCAATAAAAGAAAGACAAAGCATTTTTCTAGTTGAGATAAGGATAGCTATACAGAGAGATTCCTAGCATTGCTTCCATGCACAAGTGTATTTATAGCCTGAATTTGATTCATCTCTGCCTGACCTCTTCATTATTTCCGAGTCACCTTCCATATTGACCTCTGTCATTTTAAGGTTTCTGTAGCTCCTCTGCAGTGGGGACATCAAACACTTTCATGTTTAGGGTTTAATTTTTAATCCCCTCATTCAAAGTTCAGGATGGTTCCATGAGACACCTCAGTTACAAGTTCTCTGAAATCAGCAACTGACCTGTTACCTGAAGTTCCCAGAAGGCCTCCTCCTCTTGAGACTGGGAACTGAACCAGCACCCATACAAGCCTGCATCTGAGGGAGTGACCTTCTCCAGCCTCAAATGGCACGTCCTTTGTCAAGGGAGTCCCTCACAAACTCAGTTCTTCTTTGGTACTGTGGCATCTTCATATTTTCCTGGTCTTTCCTATCTTGTAGAGATGGACCACAGCATACAACTGATCCTTGAAGAACCGCACTTCCATGGCTTCTGCACTTGTCTCAGGAGACAGGAAGCAAGAGAATGTTGCATCCTCTCCAGCCAAGACCCGGATGGACTTATTTGGCCCAATCACTTTCCACTGGCCTGTTGGAGGAAACATAACAGATAACTGAACAAAATCTATTTGGAGTTTATTACTCATGGCTAGAGAGCAGAAGTGATGTACAGGAAGAGTGGAACACTTACCGTGATCTTCTTAATAAACCAAGTGACTTAGATCTATATATTCCCCACACTTGATAGAAAATATCCACATATATCACAGACATCCTAGAGCTCTCTCTCTCTCTCTCTCTCTCTCTCTCTCTCTCTCTCTCCACCAGAAGCAGGAGACAAAGTGGGCATTTTGTAGGAATGATGGCATGTGAAAACACAAAATAATATCCAACAAGGCTAGCAACACAGTATCAGTTATTTATCCTTGTGACGTCATGAATGACTGGGAGCTGCGGCTCACTGTCACTGTCCAGCAATACAAGAGAGTATCATAACACAGAGAGCCAGCCAGAGGATAGGTACAAATTCAGAATTCAAAGTATGGTTTCTACTCAATGCATATGGCTTTCGCACCATCATAATGTTGAGAAATTTTAAGTTGAACTATCATAATTCAAAGGCCATTTTCATTAGTAGTAGCTCCGTTTTCGAGATGAGGAAACTATGTCTTAGAGAATAAGTATGTTATTCACAGGAGTGAAAGGCATTTTTTCAAATGTAGACCCTATGACTGGAGGAGAGTTTATACTGATATTCCCACCCCTTTGCTTCACCAAAAATGCTTTACTGTCTTTCTTGGTAAACACCAAAGCTGACCTGGTTTCAATGACCCAGGGGAAGTGTACGGCCATAAAATCTAGACTTTAGGTTTCCTTGAAGCTCAAGATGATTTTATAAATAATTCAGGTATATCATCAAGGAAAATACATCCTCTGGCCATAGAGTAAATGTTTTTGCTTCCTTATTTTTCCATCTACTTATTCTGCAAAAATCTGAAAGGCATGCCATACCATTGTGTAAGGATATTTTGCAGTTTTATTTCAGAGACTTACTCCTTAGAGCAGTCATGTTGTGATATATCCTTTCCATGAAATGTATCTTTTATACTTTGGACGTAATTTTCCTTTTCCACTTTATAATTTGGCCTTGGATAATGGCTGAAGGCTTTATCAACATACCTTAACTTCATATTGGTACAACTTTGTCCTCAACTTCTTTTTGAAACTTACTTCATCCTCTTGTTTCAAGTGGGATAACTATTTACTTTGTGGGGCTGCCCTGCACAACTCTTGGCTCTATGGAAATGGAGCCTGTTTTGCTCAGCACTGTACTGTGTCTAGTACAGGGCCCAGCCACAGACTGTGGGCTCTCCAAGCAAGAACTACACTTATTAATGGTGAGCACCAAGCAAGGGTTAAAATTATTAACAGTGAGCACCAATTTATTTTCTCACTGTTCATCTATTTAATTATCTTTTTAGTAATTTTCTTGGCATAAACCATTCTTCAAAATCTATAACAATTAGATTTTTTTCTTAGGGAGTCCATAAATGGTGGAAGCCTAGTCCTTTCAACTGCTATGTACACACTGTTATTAAAAACCTTTTTTTGGAGACAGGGTCCACCTACAATTCATGATCCTCCTGCCTCAGCCTACCTAGTGCTAGAATTACAGACATGAAACTCTATGCCTAACAGTATTTCTTGATTAATTCACTTGAGCTCATTTGTAATATATGCATATGTGTGTGAATATGGCATACCCTTGTATATCAGAGGTAAAGTTGGTTCCATTTGTGGATTTCTAAATAAGCAAGTTGAAAATTCTCTGTTCCAATTATTTCTTACTTCAAGTGTATTTTATAAATCCTTCTAAAATGAATTTAATTTATGAATCTTCAAGGAGAGCATTATTAAAATGTAATGTGACTTTGCTGTGTGATCTTGATTGGCTGCTGACCTAGCAGAACAGACACTGACTCCCTGTCTCTCCCCTCCTCACTGCTGAGTCCCCTTGCAGTGAGATAGACACTTGCCCTGTCCAATGACAGCTCCATCCCAAGTCCACTGTTGAGCATTTTCTCCTGCTCAGTCAGTTGCAGACATTTTAACAACCCTGGAGTACATCTCAACCAGTAATGGACAGGGCAGTGGATGATGGGACGATTGTGAACCCTATATACATGGTTCCTCAGAATGTCCCAGTGGGACTGAGTTCCAGTTTTCCACACCTGTTACCAGTTCATTAGAACACTCTTTCTCTGGCCTCACTCTCCAAATCAACCCACATGACACCTGACATAGGCTCCTGATCTCCAGTTCTAGAGCATTTGTTATAAGTGGCTCAGAATTGTGAATCTTTCCTCTGTCCCTGTAAGAAATGTTTGTGTGTGTATATCATGCATACATATGCATGCATCATATATATGTATGTATCTGCAAACAAGCATCACATGTATCCATATATCACACATATGTAATATACATGCACATATCACACACACACACACACACACACACACACACACACACCCCTCAGGAGTATCTTTCCTAAAATATCTGAAAGCCATTCCTTTGACATAATCACCAGGAATGCAGTGCAACTGTCTCCATGGGGGGAGGCAGTGGAATGGATAGAACCCTAAGTTCAATGATTGCCACCTAGAAAACACAGCTGACTAATCATGTTTATATTGGCTAACCCTTCTTAATTTTTCATTTCCCTAACTACCGAGCCAACACTCCATACCCTTACACCTTCATCCTCACTTAAAGAAATCCAGTCACCTTTGTACAAATCAGAGTTCAGCTCACACTGAACTGTCTTCTCTGTTTCATTAGTTCTATCCATCTTTACCTTTAATAGTTTCCCTGGGGACCAGCAGGAAGGCTGTCTGTAGTTGAACAGTTAATATGCACCAGTGGATCTGCATGCTACATTACATATATAAGTCCTCACTATGAGCCCTATCAGGAATGTGATATTACCTCCACGGCATGATAAGAAAACTGACACTTAGAGAAGTTATAAACCACAAAGCTCATAAGCAGAGGAAATTAGATTTTTTAAATGTTTTTCTTCTGAAGCCATTTCCATGGCTCCCTGTTGCCTCTCCCCCAAACAGAAAGTAAAGAAACTCATAATTAAATGGATGAAAACTTACCTTAAATGAGAGGCTCTCTTATGAATAATGCAAGAGATTTCTTTTGTGGTATTGGGGTTTGAACGCAGGGCTTTGCATTTGCAAAGCAGGCACTCTACCACTTGAGCCAGGCCTCCAGCCCATTTTCTCTAGTTATTTTGGAGATGGGGGGGTCTCATGAACTACTTGCCAAGACTAGCCTCAAATCATGATCCTCCTGATCTCAGCCTCCCAAGTTGCTAGGATTATAGGCATGAGCCACTAGCACCAGGAAATGCAAAATTTTGGTGTAACAACAGGAAGCATATTTTGAATTCCCCATTTCTTGACCTTGTTTAGCAAAACAGACATTGGTAGACAAGTAGAAATGGAACCTGCACAAAAGATCCTTTATAGCTGAACACTGTTAAGACTAGAGTTCTCTTCCAGCCTCCAGCTACCTTTGTGAGTTTTATTCAATTATTCAACATCCTAAGCATCAGTTTGTGTTGATGGTAACTTGCAGGAGAAAGAAGAGTGGATTTCTATTAGAATATGCCACATTCCATCTTATTAATGAGCTGTATACGCTCTCATCTCCCCTCAAAGTTCACACCCTAAGTGTGTCTAACTCAGCATGTCCATTGGTGGACCTATTACCTTTTACCAAAATGTTCTAAACAGTGTTTCCTTCCAGTAGGAAGGCACCCAAATCAGAAACTTGGGTATTCTACTAAAGAGCTTCCCTACAGCCCCATAACTCATCTGGGACAAACATTTAATTTATTCTCCATAACAACCTTATGTGCATCCTCTCTATTACCATTGCCTTTTGTCAGTTCCCTGTCCCTATTGTTTTGTAGTACTGTAATAGCTTTAATGTTGACTCAATCCTTCACACTGCTGTGTACATTCCATAGCTGTGGCATTGGTAATAGCAGGCAGGGACTAGAAGAGGACAGGGAAATGCAAAAAAGAGAGAAAGAGAGGGGGAGGAAGGGAGGAAGGAAGGGAGGAAGGGAAGGAGGGAAGGGTGGGAGAGAGGAAGGGAGGGAGGAAATAAAAAAGAATTTCCCATTCCATTGTGTTGTGATCATGGTAGGTAAATAATTTAACCTGTTACCAAGTGGGAAGGAGACAAAAGCAGTCCAGCCTGGAAGCTTACCTGACACCACATTAAGCAGACTGAGAACCAGAAGAACATGAGGGCCATGGGTGTACTGAAGATCATGCTCATACTACAGAAACAGATGACAGCAGGGATGCACAGACTATTTAGGTTGAGAGAAGAGACAATTAGTCCAGCTGTCCTGGGTGCAGAAGATATGGAGAGGCTCAACATGAACTGATGGCAGACTGTACTGTTCTCAATCTCTCTCAAGTTGGCGTGGCTGTGTATCTTAGGAGTGTGAGACTCTGGACTTTGAACCACTGCATTTATTGGCAGGCCATAACCATCTATCTCAGACCAGGAAAATGAAGATAGAGAGTGGGAACTTTGTCCTGGGTCAAAACTATCCTGGGTCAGTAGTATGAAAATTCTAGATTCCAGGGTGTTTTAAAGTCCTATCTTTCAGGCAGACCTATATGGGTGGTAAGTATCTAGTCTTGAAAGAGAGTTGTCCAGCATAAGTTAATGAAGTATCCAAAGAAATAGATGGCACTCTACCAGGAGTAATCAAGAGCAGCTGAGACTAGCTGGGTGCTGGTGGCTCACACCTGCAATCTTAGCTACTAAGAAGGATCATTGTTAGAAGCCAGCTCCAGGCAAAAAGTTCATGAGATCCTATTTTGAAAATACTAAACACAAAAAAAGGCTGATGGGTGGCTTAAGTGGTAGACTGCTTGCCTAGCAGTGTGAGGCCCTGAATTCAAACCCCAGTACCACAAAGAAAAGAAAAGGAAAAAAAAAAAGAAAAAAGAGCAACTTAGATTGACAATTCCTGGCACTGAATGAAGTAATCCCTGCTCCTGTCTCCATTGTTATGAGTGCAGAGCCAGTACTGTGAAGAACTTGCTAGATCAACACAGTGCCTTGGTCACCACGAATCTAACAAATTGGGAACTGTATCACAGCAGTAATTAAGGCAAGGGGGAAAGAAAGACAGATTCATTCAGTCATTCATTAGATACAGTAAGCCACAGGGGTTCAGATGGATGTGTGCCAGCATGACCTGGCTGGGTGAAACTGCTCCCAGATTATACCTGGTGTGAGTGAGTGTGTGTGTGTGTGTGTGTGTGTGTGTGTGTGTGTGTGTGGAGGGGTGGGAAACTGAATTTCAGTACTAATTCAGGAACTTCTGTGAAGTTAATGTTGTCAAGCCATACCTAGTGGAACCAGAAAGACTCCCAGCAATTCCCTATATGGGAAAGCTTGCTCACAGACCATGGCTAAAAGGGGATGGAGATGACATTTATGGTCCTTTCACAAATAGCAAGGGATAGAGGCTGAAAAATCTCCCTGGGTGCCTCTCCCAAAAGTTTGCAGAACCAGCAGGGTAATTCTGGGGCTTTGGAGGAAAAGGACTTTAGCTGAGACAAGAGCCCCTACAGTATCTGCTGTGGTTTGGAGGCCAGCATAACTGTCCAGTTGGGCACAAACAAGCACATCACCCAAAAGTTTTATGTGCCATCAAAACTTATCCCAGTCTATATCCTAGAATAGAGTTGAGCTTCAGAGTCCCTTCAGGATTTTCTGTGGGATAGAGGCTAACAAGCCTGTTGGAAGGCATAGTCAGAGAAAACTCTTTCACTTCCTTGTTCCCGAAACAGAAACAAAGCCCATTCAGGATCTTCTGTGAAATGGAGACTGGCATATCAGTCCTGGTGTCTTCCTACATGGGTAGGATAGTTCCTGGTTGTGGCTAAAAAGAACTGGAGCTAAGAAAGCACCCCATCAGCATCTGCTGCGGAGAAGAGATTGGTAAGTCTGTCGTGGAGGCTCAAGTGAGAAGTCTCCCAGCAGCTCTCTCCATGGTGGGGTATCTCTTCTTGTAGAGAGGGAGAAAGCCAAGACAGGACCCTTTAAATCAGATGGGGATGGAGGCCAGAGAGTCTGTCCTCATGGCACAGACAAATGAATCTCCATCTAAGCATACATATGTTATGTACACATATAAAGCCAGGACCACTGCTGAGGGGCCTAGAGCTGCCAAGACCCATGTCAATGAGCAAGAGAGGCCATCTTCCAAGTCATTACTCCTGGACCCCGAGGCAGATGGTTTTGCTAGTGGGTTCATGTCAAATGGGGTTGTAACAAAGCCCATTGGGAAGCACTGCCATTTCTAGTTTTGAGATCTGTTGGACGATCACTAGGTCTGCCTCCAGTACAAATTTAGACTCTCAAGATGACCTAGCTAAGTGTTGGCCTCCATTAGACTCTCACATCCTCTGCCTGAGTCTCATGGCTCCACAAAGAGACTTTCGTCTGCTGATGCATGTTGTGGGGGATATGATTGTGTGACCTTGTATTATACCATCTTGGGAAATAAATTCAATAATTATCCTAGGAACCTTAGTGAATTACAAGAGAACACTGACAGCTGACAACTATTTAAAACCAGAAATGATACATGACCAAAATGAAAAAATCAACAATGGGAATTAAGAAGTCTGAGGGGCCAGATTGATGGGAAAAGAAAGGAAGTTGGGCAGGAGCTGAGGATGAGAGATATGGAAGATATGTGTTACTCAGATTTCACAAAGTCCAATAGTGGATTTATGCAGGATACATTGGTACAGTTGGGGTAATATACAACAAGAACCACTATCTTAATGAAGAACCTGGGCACATTTGTGTGCTGTGATGCCCAATACAGTGTTAGTGTTTCCCAGCATTGTCCAATCATTGCAGATAGTAGGATATTTGAGGACCTCAGAATCCACCTTTCAAGGATTGTGCTCCTTAGAACAGATGGAGAGAGCAGTTGTTATGGCCCCTGGATTCAAGTTATTTCTCTAGGGTGTGAGTCAGTCACAGCACTGACCAGGAGAACAAGCCAAAGAGGCTGTGGCAGTCAAGCTGGCCAACAGCACCTCAGGATCTGAAGAAAAAGGTGCTTCACAGAGTCCCATGTGTCCATCAGGGAGTAATAAATACAGAATGCCTAGGAACTGCAGAACATGGTATTGAACATGGTAATGGAGCACTGAGTGAGGCTGTCTAAAAACAAATCGCTTCATCCCAAGAAGGCTATGGAAGTGAGGTCAGAAGCCTAACTCAGAGCTGGGCTGTTCAAAACAGCTCTGGGGAGGAACAGTAAGCATGGAAATCTGATTTAATCAGAAGCAAACAGAAAAACAATTGCTTAAAGGCTGTTGGATAGCTCACAGTATCTCTATGGGTCTAGAGAACTTGAGGCTATACTTCAAGGGAAAATGCACACACGATCAGGTGTTAAGCCACAGCTGCTACTGATGGACAAGTCTCTCTTAGATTCACATTGCAAATCTTGTTACTGTAACCTTCTCTGCCACTGCTGTGCCATCTCTCACAAGGGAAGTTCTTGATGTCAGGGACTCAAGTGTGGGCAGGACCATCTGTCCCTGACCAAGCTTAATGAATGTTGGGAAACTGGCATTTTCCTCTTTGCATATGGATGGTGGTCTCTGACTTCTAAAAGGTAGGGATCCCCAAAACACAGGAAAAGGAATCACAAATGTCCTTATGTTTAATGAGCAATATGGTGTCTACATCTTTAGAGAAACACAAAATGAATGTTAGAGTGCACTGAGGTTAGGTGTGAAGTGAGTTTATGGGAACTGAAGATTTGTGGCAGGTAAGTTTGAGGAAAAGAAGGATGAGTGATATCAGGGGCACCTCCTAGGGAAAGACAAAACTAAAATAGGCTCAGGAGAGAGAATAGTTTCTGTTTGGAACAAAGATCACAATGCCCTTATCAAATAATTTACAATGAGCAAAGTGAAAGATAAGGTTAGAGAGGGATGGAATGGATCAGAAGGTTTTGAATAGCATGATGGGTCAGAGATATGGAGGAGAGGCCACACCACACAGGTAACGCATCAGGACTTCAGTCTCTGCCTTGCACTTATGCAGCTAATCCATGAGTCACAACCACCCTGAGCGCAGTTTCAATTCAAAGGTATGTCCTTTGCTGGGTTTTTGCTTGATGTTGCACTCTGAGCTTTTCATGTATTCATTCAACAAATAGTCATCTGATAGGAATTCAAAGATGAATAACTCACTATTCTATAGGAAAATTGACATACAAACACAATCACAAAGCATGTGGCAGATTCTGTAGCAGAATACGAGACCACAGAGGAGGAAGCAATAGTAAAGAGTCATTAGTGATCTATATAGATGCATCAAGAGATGCAATACCAGTGCAAGAATTAAACTGGGACCCAACTTTAATGATGACAGACCTTACTGGGTCACTATCATAAGTTTGTCCTGGGAGGTACCTAAGCCAAGAAGGTAAATATATCTTATTTAAGATACAATGACTACAGCAAGGGATGACTGAAAACCTCTTACCCTGGTTAGAAAGACTATGCTAAACCTAAAAGAAATATGCTGGGTTAAACCAAAGTCCCCCCAATCATATGGATGGTCAATTTGACCTTCCTTGGGTAGACTGCATACGACATTAGACAAAATTACAGAAAATTGAAGGGACGGTGGGTATGAGCCCTAGTCAGTTGGGGCAAATAGCCCATTAGGTCTATAATGACTGAGAAAATTGAAAGGTCAAACAAGCCAACATCTTCATCCAATATACCCAGAGCTGGAAACTAGATGCCATACCTTAAAAGGAAAGAGGCTCAAAGGGAAGAATCATTCTTTATACTGAAGTGAGGAAGGGCACTGGAAAAAGCACTACTCCAAACTCTTAAATAGAAAAGGACCAGCTTGAGTTGAAGCATCAGATGTCAGGTATCATTGTGGTTTTGTGGAGCAATGAGGAGGTCCTGGGGCTACGTGATTCTTTCTGCTCCAATCATTATGCTGCACAGGAGTCCCAGGTACAAATGACAGTGGGGAACAAGTGCATAAACTTCCTTATCTATACTGGAGCTATGTAGTCAGTTTTAGGACCCCTTTAGCAAAGAAAGGATGAATATAACTGTGCCTATCACAGGATTATCAGGAAAATCCCAAGAACAGCCTCCAATAAAGTGGAGCCTGGGTGACCTGCACCTAACTCACAGCTTCTTGTATGTACTGGAGTATCCATTTCCCCTGCTAGGTCAATTCTTGCTCTGCAAACTCAATGTGAAAGTGACATTTTTCCAAGTAAAGCAGCAAATGCCAGTAAAAGTGTCACCTGAACAGGCACTTTATCTTCAACTAATGTTAACTCAGGTAAGTCATCAAAGGGTGAGTCAATGCCCACCCTGAAATCCACCAAAGGGTCAATGCAACAATATAGGCTGATGGGGCTACTCACTTAGAGCAATACTCTTTGAGGCAGGAGGCATTTGAGGGAATCTCACCCATTCTTCAAGAATTTTTAAAGTGCAATTTGATTCAGCCCTGCCGGCCACCTTATAATACTCCTAATCTGCCAGGAAAGAAAGAAAGGAGAGAGAGAGAGGAAGAAAGGAAGGAAGGAAGGAAGGGAGAGAGAGGCAGTGTGGGGAGAGTGGCCTAAACAATGTATACACATGTGAATAAATGTAAAATTGATAAAATAAAGTAAAATAAAAAGAGAGAGAGAGAAGGAAGGAAGAAGGAGGAAGGAGGAAGAAGGGAGGGAGGGAAGGAGGGAAGGAGGAAGGGAGGGAGGAAGGAAAGAAAGAAAGAAAGAAAGAAAGAATCTAAGTAGTATAGCTTTATTCATGACCTATGGTCTGTTAATGCAATAGTCCAGGACATTTTCCCTACAGTACCTAATCCCTACACTCCTTTGACAGCCTTACCAATAAAGTGTAAGTGGTTCATAGTCCTTCATCTCAAAGATGCTTTCTTTTGCATTCCACCTGAAAAAGAGTCACAATTACTTTTTGCCTTCGAATGAACAGTCCCTCAATCAAAAATTACTCTTTAATACTATGGGCAGTACTCACTCCCTCAGGGATTCAAAACCTCTCCTACCATATTTGGGGAAATATTGGCTGGAGACCTGAGAATCTTGCAATTAACTCAGCAACCCTCCTGCAAACTGTAGATGACTTGTAGATGGCCAACCTACCTTATGTGCATTGCCTAGTAAACACCATTCAGACTCTTAATCGCCTTGCTGAATGTGGGTATAAGGTGTCTTCTAAAGAAAAAATTTGCAAAGAACAGATTGTTTACCTTGGATTCCAATTGCAGCAATGTCAATGAGGTCAAGTGGCTGAGTGGAAAAATGCTATTGCCTGCATTCTGTATCCCTGGATCCACAGACATTTGCAAGGGTTTCTGGAAATGGCAGACTATTGCAGGAAATGGATATCTAATTTCGGACTTTTAGTAATGCCTCTATATGAGGCTTTAATTGTGACAGAGCTTGAGCCTTTACTTTGATTAATGGAGGTGAAACTACTTATAAAACTTATAAAACTTGAGAGAACCAATTGATGTCTGCCCCCAGTTGGGACTGCCTAACCTTAAAAAACATTTCAACTGTAAGTGCATGAGCAACAAGGAATTGGACTGGGAATTCTTATTAAATTACTGGGTTAAGTTTCCCACACTGCAACATAATTCTAAAACAATTGAACCCCACAACCAAGGGATGGCCTCCTTGTCTCCAGGCAGTAGCAAACAATTGTGATGTTCTGAAGAAAGCTGAGAAATTCTATTACTGTGCATGTGCCACATCAGGTCTTATATCTGCTGGAGCAGAAGAGCAGATGCTGGCTAACTGCTGGGAGGCTGGGGAGATATCAGGTTATATTGCTAGATGATCTTAATGCAATCCTTCAAACAACATCAGCTTCAAACCCAGCCACCCTGCTGCCTGCAGGACCTAAGCTTCTACCCCCACACCACAAATACATGGAAGTTCTTGATGCTGTCTTTGCTGGAGCTGATGGGCCAATCACTTGATCACACAGATTGGAAACTCTTCCTCAATGAAAAAGGCTTTGTGGATCATGGAAAATACCATGCTATGTACTCAGTAATGACTCTACAAGAGGTCATGAAATCAAATGCTCTCCTAGAAGATATGTCGTCCCAAAATGCTGAACTAGTAGCCTTCGCCAGTGCCATTAAGCTTTCATAAGAGAAGAAGGGTGACAATTATACTGACACAAAATATGTCTTCTTGATTATTCATGCCCATGGAGCTATATGGAGAGAAAGAAAATTTCT